ATCTGTTCATAAGATTTAGTCAGGGGTGCTTCTTAACATTCACATTTCTAGGTCTTTCCCTGGAAATTCTCATTCAGTACATATGAGAAGGGACCTGGATATAAACTTTTTTAATAAGCGCCGTACATGATTTTTCTGATTAGGCAAGTTGGGAAGTGTTTAATGAAAGTAAGACTGAAAATAATATAATAAGTAAATGTAGTTTTGAGTATTCTTAAATTAATTAAACAATTCTTAATTAACCTTTTATTTAACCAAAAAGTTTATCAAGTCTTTTTTTTTTTTTTGAGAATGTCTAAATTTATGCCCTCATATTGTCTCCCAGATTATCTATGTATTTTCCAGAGTTTAAATATTAATCGCATTGAAGCCTCTCCCATTTAACTTCCTAAGGTCCCTGTGCAATCTCTATATTTTCTTCACCTTATGTCGTATAGTGTGATAGCATCCTCTGAGCCACCAAAATTATAGCAAAGTGATAACAAGCCACAAATTGAGGTCAGTCACCAGTAATAGCAGAGACAGCTGATCCACCAAAGCCTAAAATATTAGTAGATGTGGGGAGAGACAAAGATAAGATCATAAGTCATGTTAATATCTGAATCTGAAGAACAAATCCAAGATCAGATTTGCACGAGTGCACAAATGGGCAAGAGGAGAGGGTTAAGAAACAAATATAGTAGATCCAGATACATTTCGAGCACAGCATTCTTCACAGAGACACTGTTCCCATAACAAAGACTAAATCTTGGCCAGCACACACCAGTCCGTTGTAATATTTCTACACTACTCTGTGAATGGTTGCTATCCTAAGTCCCCCACCCCGTCCTCCTTGCCAGCCCGACATCCAGTGACGGAAGGGATAATATCTGACACAGCAGAGGACCCCCAAATTCTGCTCCAGACCCGATGTCAGTTCTGACTGCTCCAAGCCCACTTCCTACCTGTGGTTAAACGCCGTGATTGATACTTGTGCCCACGGGATGTCTACCCTGAGTCTTCACGGTGCTCTCGACCAGACTCTTGAGACTACCAAAAAGAAATCCGCTCTCTCTTAGAAAAAAATGAGCATTTGTCCTGTTATCCCAGAATTTGAGCCTTTATGTCTCATTATCCTGAAAACGGCAGCCATGTCCTTATATTTGCATTGTGACTTTAAAATGAGATAGTGCACTAAATGGGGGGTTTTTTTGTCAATTCTTAACTGAAAAATGTTTTACTACTTCTTTTGTATTAATTCCTTCTAAATACTTCTAAAAACAGCCAGAAAAAAAAATTTTATTGGACATCTATTTATCTGTAAGAGCCTATGGTAAACGCTATTACATTTAAACATAGAGCTAAACAAAGCATAACTAAAATCAGAAAACTATCTTCTCATAAATAGGTATGATATTTTATCTTCCATGGGCCTTTTGTCAACTCATAACTAGTTTTCTCTGAGAACTCTGTTTCTTATTGAAGTGGCAGGGCTTTCACATGAAAACAACTCAGGCGAATTCATGTCACACCAGCACATCTGTGGGGCATGGAATTATGGGGGTGCTCACAGTAGGCATCTAGATGTCTACAGGTAAGTCTTGTTTCTTTCACGGGGACTTGGAAGAGCCCTTCACAACCGTGTCTCAGTGTCCCCCCTGAAAATGGGCATACGGACAAGACAGGAGCTTCGACTGTGTAGCAGCATAAAGCTCTCTTCAAAGAAAATTTTGCACAAAAGGTCAACGGATAAGCAGGGCTCTCTAGAGAAGGGGAGGGGAGGTAGAGCATCACCCGCTTGAACCATCATCTGCATCCCAGTCGACTTGGAGACACCTCAAGGAACGACTTAACAGTGTGCAATCTACAAAAAAATATGGTCGCTAGGATCTAGAAATCTAAAACTCTAAAACTCCTATGAAAATTCTGCAACGCGTTTCTACTGGTAGGTTGTTCTATGAGACCAAGAGAAGGCTCAGACGATAACAGCTAAACTAGTACAAACTCATAGCAGAGGACAGTATTATGTTATCCATAATATAAGAGAAATGAGAAAAAGTAGGCAAAGCTATGCCGTTGTAACTCATTCTCACTCCCTTCACTTCTCATGATATAATCCAAACCAAATACCAACTGAATATGAAAGATTATCAGAAAAAAAATAAAATTATAATATAGGTCACATTGACCTTGAACACGTAGCTGTGATGCTTGAGATGTATATAAAAATGTGTACTTGTGCATTCAAACATTATGTGTTCATACATTCATACATACTCACGTATACAATACATATTCACATATTCATATATATTATTCTTCCAAGATTTCCTTTGATTGTTTCATTTTGGGGCATCTCTGTCCCTCACTAGGTCTTAGACCCTCAAAGCCACTATTCCTATACACTGATTTCAATTATTCCTTGGTGACCATTATTAATCCAGGGATTTCGACAACTTGAGAAAAGGTGGAAACTTTAAAAAATCTAGTCCACACTGCATGTGATATTTGAAACTGTTCGATTAGTCGTTCCTAATTATTGTTTCGTTTATGAATTCTTGTTGCCAGTAAATTGCTTGTGGACAGAGCCACATCTCTCTTGCTTATCCCGATGGCCCCAGCTCCGCTCACAGTACCTGGCACCTACTAGATATTCAGTACGTATTTACTGACAACAAAGGACACTTGGAAAATTTACAAATTTCTGAATTCGTTCCTTAATGACTCGTAGTGGTTTTAAACTCACTTTCTCATAACTAAACAAATATATAAAGTTTCTTTTGTTATAAGACATTATGATGCCTTCACATTCTTGAACTAAATGGAACGTTCTGAATATAGATGCTTTCATAGAGCCACCTAGTGTCCACCTGTTTAGCGAGGCTAAAAAATGAAGTGGGGCCCACAAAATCCATAACATGCTTAACAGTGAGGAATGCATAATGCTTAACAGTGAGGAATGCATAATCTCAACGTGGCAGTAGCAAATTAGTGCATCGACTGGCCACATGAATGACTTTTTTTTTTTTTTCTGAGCTTCCTCTGCCCTTCACCATATATACACTATATTAGTCATTCTAGAATTCTGTTAATGAAACATTTGACAAGAGCTAGCTGATTGATGTAGTATGCTGAATAAATGTGCTACCTGCTCCCTCCTGAAACCCCACTAACATGACTTGAAAGAAATCCAATAAGCATAGTGATCAAGAGAAACACTAGCGGATGAGAACCAATGGTAACTGAAATTGCCATGAGGAGTGGAAAGCCAAGGAAAGCTGTGGGGGAACCAGGAAGACGCACCTCAAACAAAACCTACAATTTTTGAACTCCACTGACTACAGGCAGGATTTTGATTATAGTGCCCATGATTTTGGAGGAAAGATCTGGTACATTTAATATCATTACATCAGTTACTTGTCTAAGGTAAGACTCTAATACTGATCCCCACTGAAAATCTCTATTTTAATTGATATTCCATTATAGTTAAGCCTACATAACACATCCCCTGCAGAATTGACTGGTTTAAAACAAAATCCTTTATTTAGTTCTCATTTCTGTTATTTGACAGTTTGGGCTGGGTTCTGCTAAGCACTTTTGGGCTCATGCGGGAATCTGTGTCCTGAGGTGGGTGATTTGCTCCTGCTCCATGTGGTCTCATCCTCCAGTAGGCTAGCCCTTGCTTGTTCAAATAGCAGCTTAGATAGTCTCCCAAGAGAGGAAGCATAAACATGCAAGAAGATGTCTTGAGGCTCAGCACTAGACGTCATGGGACTAGCACTAGAATTTCAATTCCATTGGTTAAAAAAAAAAAATCACCAGCAAGCCCAGAATCAAGAAGCCGGTTTCTAAGTTCATCTCTTGTCGGAAGGCGCTGCAGACACATGGCAAAGCATGTGCTATAGGAAACAGTACTGTGGCTACAAGTTTTAGAACACGATATGCAGAGCTAAACAATAGACCGATGACAGGTAAGCCTGGAAATACCTCCGATATTCGATTAGAAAGTAAGGCCTTTATTTGATTACTGATGGGAGGGCACATTAGATTTTAGCTCAGTAGTGACAGGTTCAGAGTTGAGCTATACATTTTGTCTCCATTTTTAAATATTCCCGTAACTCAAAGAGCAATCTAATCAGGAGGTTCTTTGACTTCATGCGGTGGCGTTTTCCTTCTGGGTGCCATTCATGCCCCGAGCGCCCCTGGACCCAGCGAGGCTGCTCAGCCGCCACTAACTTCCCGACAGGACCCGTCCCCGACGGGACACAGCGGGCTCAGATGCCCCGGTGCCG